TTTTTTTTCAAAATCAAAAGTGTCTTGTTTTTCATATCGAGTGTATTTTTTAAATGAATCTCATTTTAAAGGATTGTATTTTTTGACTTTTGAAATGCATTTTTAAAAACTGAAAGAAATTTTAAAGACGCAATGCATGTTTTTTTTAGATTTGAATTAATTTTAAAAGAGAGGATGAATTTGTATAGACGGAACGACATATTTCAAGATTGGAACGAATTTTTAAAGTCCAAACATTTTTTAAAGATTAGACTAAAGTTGTTGACTCCGAATATATTTTTAAAATTGGAACACTTTTCCCAACGCAAAGCTGTCATTCGGCGCACGCATTTTACCCAAAATCACATTTCGTCCGAATTGGGGAAACATCCAAATTTCTCAAGCATCCAAAATGAGAAAGCATCCGTGTTTCAAAGCATCCAATCTTTTTGACGGTGTTCGGCCCAAAGTTCCAAACCTTTTTTTGGACGATTCTGCTATTTTCGGAATGCGCATGCGCAGGCAAACTCCTACAGTGGTTCCCGCTACCTTTTACGGTCGTTGCCTTCGCGGCCTGCAGACTCGTCTCCATGTTTACATGTAAAATCTGATTCACATTTTGAAAACACGTTCACTCTTTACAAATTTACTCCAAACTAGAAAATATGTTACCTCTATACAAATTCATCCGCTCTTTGAAAATCTATTTGAATGTAAAAACATGTACCGGTACGGTATTGCATCTTTTAAATTTCGTTCGTTTTTTCAAAAATGCTCTCAAAAAGTAAAATAAGTAAAAAATACGATCTTTTTAAATTGACATTCGTTTTAAAAATACATTCGATTTTTAAACAACACGTTCGATTTTGAAAAAAACGCATTCCGTTAAGCAAAAACACGTTCCAATCTTTTGGACCCGAACTGAGCTTCGTACACTTGCGAAAAGCATCTCCGATCCACGCAACAGTACTGTTTAAATCCAGTGGCTCAAGCTTTGTGTACAAGAATGACGAAGCACCGCTCGTTTGGTTTTTTGATATCTTGAGGGAAATCGTGAGAATCAAATTCCTGTCGAAGAAAGCAAGCACATATGGCGCACGGTAAAGGCACGCTTTTATATATAAAAATGGGCCTCTCCTTTTCAATCTGTTAGCGGAGAGTTTGGGGGCATGCTAGCTGGAATTTTTTCATTAACAAGTTCCAAGTGCGTAATGAATGTTCTCTGAATGCTATCGATCGGAGGCCTCGAATCCATTCATTCATCAATCGGCCGGTTATCAACCGATATCTTTCCGCGCCAGTGTGGAGCGGTCGAGGCACAACACGTCGTCGCGGCTAAAATATGAAATTCAAGCATGGACTGATAACTCATATTTTGGCTTAATGTAACAGTGGAAAAAAGATAAAAGAATTTCTATTGCACATTTGGATAGGGAATCGTCTTCATTCAAAAACGCTGTTGAATTTCTCACTCTGCCTTTAATGTTGTGCAACATTTTGCTTTCCCATGTTTTAACTGGCGCGGATCTTCGAGGGGCCCATAGGGTGCCATCAGGCGTTTATCGGCAAGGGACTCCACCTCTGCATATTTTGTCCCTGACACTTCGGCGAGAGAAATGAAGTCACATCGATAGCCTTCTGGATTTCATGTCCGTCGAGGCAGAGTCATAATCGCTCCCCATTCTGCCTCCAGACAGCTAGGCACTCCATCAGGTTTATCCAGCCAACCCGTCTCAAACATTTGAATTAATTTTCTATTACCAACATCGTCGGCATTTCTCTCCACTTTACGGCTGACGTTCATAATAATTCACCTTCAACAGCGGCAACAAGCAGACGCTGCCTCGCTTGACGTATACTCAACTGCAAACGATATTGACATTTTTCTTCAGCGAGAGTAAAATAAACAAGGATTTCAATATTTCTTTCTAACTCAAGATTAGACCCATTGTTTTCGTTAATTTTTTCGAGAGGCACGAAACACCTGTCACTTTCATTACCTAAGGAGTTGAGTAGGCCTACTTCGTTTCAGTTTCGGTATACGGGCGTGATATCCTTACAGAAGCACAGATAATGCCTATTCTATAACATGTTGATTTACTTGTAGTTTTCATTTGGAAATTATATTGCCGTCTGCTTGATGATATCCACTATGTACTGGTATGGAATTGCAGGTTACAATGCAGCAGCGTGCGGTTATGCAATGCAACGGCACCTAACGCTACGCCTCACAATCACAGTGGGCGTCAGTTAAGTGCAAGGTGCAGAGCCGTTTGTAGAGAAAGTTGCAACATGAGTGTCTCAAGTGCTGGAACCAAAATGGCAGATTATGCGTCAGTGCACGTGGACAATGAGCACACGATAGCTGCATGCTGCTGCATACATAATGAACAGCCATTTTGGTTCCAACGTCTGAAGTCGGCGCTACTTTCTCTATATTCCTCTGTCAGGGTGACCTTTTTAAAGAGCCGCTGTCTTAGCGGTTCCTATCGAAATGTTTTCACTTGACGTCCCTCCAAAACTGGGCTTCAAATTTAAATTAAAAAAAAATCATAGGCAAGTGCACGCGTAAAAAGAACTGGCTTGAGATGGCCAGAACTGTGTATCAGAGAGCTCAGGAACCCTCGGCGCATTTCCTGCGCGAGGAACTTAAAACGGGGCGGTAACGGACGATGACATCGCGCGGTTATTACATGGGTCAATTTCACACGTGTTTGCGCAAATGAATTTGGCAACATGCGATTGCATCCCCCCCTTTCCCTGACATTCCCGTCAGATTCCCGCGCGTGTCCAGAGACGACTGCACGCGAACCGATAGCGCCCATGGTCTCAAGGAGTTGGTCGAGTGTGAAACGAACCGCTCTTAACGCGCGGTCCAATAAATTGTGGCGAGCATTTTGTAAATATCTAATTCGACCCGCACGTTCAGCGTCAAGCGTTATTCCGCACGTTCATCATCGTTTTTCCTCGTTCCATTGTGTGTTTTTTGTTCGTTGAGAAGTTACGTACGTGGGTAATTACTTGCCAAACCCATAAGTTTCAAGTTGATCATTAATTCTATATTCTAAGGGCGCATTCACGCTGGATCATGCACAATGACTATCCAATATCCAAGACAGTTCAAAAGCTCGAGCTCAAAGCATTCTGAATGATTGGATATAAACTTGTGTAGCTCATGCGTTTAGAAGATTTCATGGTGGGGTCTCAGTCTAAGCCTTCGAAATCAAAATTCCTTGGATTGCTAAGAATGTTGTCGGTTGACGTGAGCTGGATGTGGCTGTGTAGTTTTACTTGTCGGAGGTGTTTTGCTCTTGGATGCTCTTTTGCTCTTTTTAATGACCGTCTTCCAGTAACAGTGTCAACCGAAATTTCGAACGATCTTTTCTTTAGAAACATGCGGCGCTTAAGGTTGAATTTCTCATCATTAATGCAGCTCCTCCACGCAACTTCAAGAAACACAGTCTTTTGTTACAGAGAATTACCCTGCCAGTAAAATATCATGTCCTTTTTCGGACTGCCAGAAATTCTGCATTAGTGCAGAGGAAATTTTTAGGCCTTAATGCTAAAAGACGAAGATTCCCTTTTCGTATACGTAACATGTATATACAGGCAAACGCCTCCCAGTGCCTACACGATCAATACGAGACACAGCCTAGCGCCAATGCACTTGGCACGTGACATTTGTAATAGTGGCTATCGAAATTTATAGCGTCTACATTGAAGTGAATGGATGAGTTAGATTGGATGGGTAGACTACGAGACACCATTGAGGCAATGACCATTTCTCAAGAAAAAGACTGCAGTTGGTAGGCCTACTTCGTTTATCGAAATCATCCCATTAAACCAGAATTGCGTATAGCACTCTGTATGTCTAACTCCATTTCAACATTGAGCTTTTATCTTTTTAGATTGTATCAAACTGATGAAAAAAGATAAACGCACGAAAAAGAAGCAATCATTTTTTAATTACCATTTATCCAGTAATGCACCTACAAGGGAAATATGGAGTAAATGTGATTTAAATTAACCAAATGACCGTTCTTTGATGCAATGTGTCTTTCCCTCTTTTTTTTAGTGCGCTGCTAATGTTCACTGTAACTTTAAAACACCCGCTGAGAGAATGTCTTTGGATAACAGTCACGTATTTGCTCGTTAAAATTCTACCAATCGAAGACGGAACAACCGTGGGGGCCAGGTTTATCGCATACCCCCGGTTATCCTTCTTGCGGTAGCCTGAACGAAGTACTGTACCGAAAACCGAGCGCTTTCATTTCCAGAACAACCTACTTGAGAAGCCCTGTGCATGTCTGATGTTTCGTTAAATCACAGCAGGATATGACCCCCCCTCTCTCTCTTAATCATGTTTGAATTGCTTTTTCGCGTTCCCTTAAAGACTCATAACTTCTGCCGCGGAATGTAGGGAGATCAAGGTAAAATCGACCAAGAGTGTTCCTCTTAAGCCAATCAAAGGACAGAGACCGGCTGGGCGATTTGTCCGCAACCTCAGCAAACATTTTTGCCGCTGCAAAACACACCGCCGTGCGCGGGGCCATGTTGATACAGGTTCACATTTCGCAGTCCGTGTGTGATCTACTTTTGGCCGGCAGATGGTTCTTACCGTGTCAGGAGCCAATATACCATTGGTGTATTTGCTTTTGCAGAAGGCGTAGTAACCACCGACTGTATGCCCAATGTGCTCAGGCAACCAAAGTTCTGGAACAGACCGAGAGGTTCAAAGGGAGAGATTTCACTCCCCCAACACTTCTTTTTCCATCATAACTTATGGCGCCTTACGAATACCAATGCATCAAACTTTCATAATCACTGCGTACTTATGGGGAGTTTTGTGACAGCCATGCCAGGTATCCATTTTTCATTTCACTTGTGCATTACCGTCAATAAAACCTTACCCTAAGACGCCAGTCCTCAAACATGGTGTCTCGTTGAAAACTCTATATCGAAGTGATCGTAATGTCCACATCCTGACAACCTCGAAGTTAATGAAACAGGTGAAATGAGAATTAACAGCATCACAAGTGAATTTTAATATGAAGTTTGCGGTATATTTAAATATGTCTGTGCAGATCTATTTTCGTTTTCGCAAGTACAAGAACAAGACCCAGAATGATATTTGACCTATCCGCTGAGTTCAAGCTGACTTGGATTTCTGACAAGCTGTGGACAGTGGCTGCAAGATGTACTTTTTTTTTTGCGTTGGGGAGATGTTAATTTATATTTTAAAAATTAAGGCTGCAGTTGCAATATGTCGAATACACACGAAAGCCTAACATAATTGTTCTGCTCTATGAGCCCCGAGCTGGACTAAGAGAGGGCACAATTTTCCCAGCAACTTAGGCCCCTTTGGTGGGAACTACACTTCGCTGGTTCACGACCGACTATGAACATTTATGCGTGGCTGTCGTACCGCTACCAACTAAAATGAACACTCCCGACCAACATGACTCTTTTCAACCGATGAGGGGGTGCTTCTGCTCAAAGCGAATTAAGCTGCTGGTTGTGATCCCAGCTTCACCAGACTGAGTCTAAGACATTCATAAAATTATGTCCTGTAAACAATTGACAAAATTTATAAATACACACTAAGTAATAACCTTTACAAAGAAACCCAATGATTTGAAAGTTTGACCGTTGACGATAAATCATTCTTACTTGCCAATTAAGCCAATTGGCTGTTAAATCACCTTAAGTCCCGAGAAAAAGGATAGGCACTTTGTAAACCTAATATCGACGAATTGCCTTTTTTTCTGAAAAGGGTATAGGTCATAATTATACAGGCGCTCTCGAAGGCATATAATTACTGTGGTCCGTATTCTGTCAAGAAGTCTTGCAGAACACAGCTGACCCAAGATTGAATCAATAAAGTAGCTTCGGCGATTTAACTTTGTCAGGTGTTGCAGGTGCATGCACGCTTTGTCTGCAGATGCCGCGCCGGAAATGAACGGGTTTTTCTGAGCAGAATTCGAGGTTGGAAAATGACTTTTTCGGCGGGGGGGGGGGCTCAATGTGCACGTTTCGTCCCTCGTAGTTCGGATCCCATCCAAGATGATAAGAAGGCCTACTCTGGATTTTTGATAGGATGGCAGGAGTCGGGATGGCATCACGCGATAAAAGTATTCCCGTGATGAATAAATATTCATACACTTGAGCATGCGCGCGAAAAGATTCTTTTCTTGGCACACAAGGACTGTTTTACATTATGCACATACTGCAGAATACATGCGTAGGTTACCAGCCAAAAGCTACAATAGCTCATTACAATAAGTGGAACTAGGCTATTTCTTCGCACACCAAAGTTAACAACCAACATTAGTTTCCTGTACGCGAAGCAACCACCCATGATGGGCCCATATACTCCACGGCGAACCAGAGTAGTCGCACTGTGCATGACCGATGTGACCCGTGACGCCAGATCTAGGACCGAGTTACAATTTATATCAGCATGGAAATACGACCCGGCGTTAAAGGCTATGACATGATGAGTGTCCTCCTCCGATTGAAGTTCATCCCTGATCTAGCTGCGTGGATTAGATTTGCTTATTATCATAATAATTGACTTACATAAATCATAAAATTGCAACTTATGGGCATGGGTATGACCAAAGTGCAAAATCGCCAGTTTAAAGGGGATACACTATTAATTTTTTACTGAATGATATTCTGTCTGGTTTATGAAAGTTGAAATATAAACATCACATGGAATGGCACACGATGCTGATTTTGGTCTTTGTTCTTTAAAAATATTCAAGAGAACACGTACACGTGTGTATAGACTTAAGGCAATGTCAATCCTGTGTGGATGGCCGAGGATCTCTGGGAGTAGAGTGATCAGGTGGCTTGTCACCTTGCGGCTGCGGGGCTTGAGGCACTGGTTGAACTTGGACTGGCTGACCTGTTCGACCCGGTCCATCCTGGTGTACCTGACTGGTCGTGTCCGCGGCAACGGCCGCGTAATCTGTGCACGTCAACTTCTCGCTCTCGGCCCCGTTCACCACCTGCAGCGCGACGTCTCGGCGGTTCCGGGAGAGATCCTGCCCCACCCGGTGCTTCCTCCGGAAGGCGAGCTTGATGGACTTGCGGAAGGACCTGTTCTTGATGGAGTAGATCACCGGGTTTACGCAGGAGTTCGTTAGGGCGAGTAAGAGAAAGTACGGATAGATGGCGCTCCCCTCGTAGTCGAAATGGCCGGCGTTCTGCGCGAGGAACATTATCTGGTCCGGTGTCCAGCACACGGCGAAGGCTAGCACTACGACGAAGAGGGTCTCCACCACGCCACGCCGGGCGGCGTGGTAGGCCACCAGTCGATTCTGGGAATGCGCCCGATGGGCTGTCTGCGAGGCCACTCGTGTCTGCGTCCGCAGTTTGGCCAAGATGCGTATGTACGTGACCAGCATGACCAGCACGGGGATCAGATACGTGACGAGGAACACAGAAACGCCCACGGAGATGCGCAAGGCTTCGCTGTGCCACACCACTGCGCATTTCCCTCCTTCCACATCCAGCACCAAAGGGGCAAACAAGTTGATTAGCACGGCCACTATCCAGGTCAAGGCCACGCTGATCTTGGCCTTGGTGGGGCTGAAGAGCCGCCTGTGGCGCAGCGGGTACACCACGGCCAGGTAGCGCTCTAGGGTCACTGCGATCAGGTTGAAGACGGAGGCCTTGAGCGCCGTCCACATGAAGACGTCGGAGGCGATGAGCCGGCAGTAGACGATGCCCCGGGCGTCGTCCGGCAGCCAGTCGGCAGGAAAGAAGCTTGGGATGACGGTGATGGCGGTGATGAGGTCCGCAAAGGCCAAGCTGATGATGAAGTAGTTGGTCATTGTCCTCAGACGCCGGACGCGGACGAAGACGACGATGACCAAGGTGTTGCCGCACAGGGCGAAGAACACGAGGATGCACCTCCAGGCAAAGAACTGCGGGGAGGCAGGGGACTGCATCTTAGAACCTTATGCAATGTCACTCTGCTGGTTATTCCGAAAATGAAAGCATGCCCAAACCAGAAATGCAATACCGGGGTTTCCACTACAGTTTGACGAGCCACTCGGTAGTTCTGGTTGAGGCTGCACTGGCATCAACAGAGGTTCTCTCAAGACAGAATATTTCATGTCTTGTCATGCAAGAGTTGTCAAGTCGCATACCGTAAAATGTAGAAATTGAATTCAAGAAATTTAGTTTTCTGGTGTAACGCCAACGGATAATGAAAATCCAGTAGTTCTATTGCCCTTTTATGGGAAAGTACGTATTCATTATCTCGCACACAAATCTGTCATGATAATGGGCAAAAAGTTTTAATCGACTTATTATTTCAGATTTTTCCCGCATCATTTACTTACACTTCCGGTTTCTGTTACGTTCCGCGCTCACGGTTGTTCCGTTCATTAACCGAGCAGACGTTTTCATGTAGTAACAAATCGCGAATTCCAACTTGCTGCAGCGTCATGCTGGTCACATCGGCCATTGACACTGGTGCACCGTGCAACTGCGTGGGTGCGTCGGTCTGGCCATCGAACCTAGGCTTGTTTAGCAGTTATCAGATATACCATTGGCAGGGAGTCCACCCAATTACTACTGGCGAGCTGCTTTAAGCCCTAGCAATATCACGCAATCTCGTCCCACGGTGGCGTATAGATCGAAATCTTACCGTGTCATTACCTATTGATGGAGCTCCTAACGATAAGCTATCCTAAACTCCAAAGTCTCCTCGGCAGCACGATGGGCGAAAAACCTGGCTTTGCTCGTGTGATGATCGGTTAGGTGTCAGTCCCCCGTAGGCCTACGTATCCAACGGGAAATCCCGCACATGGCCCGCGAAAGTCGTCGGTGGTTTCTCCGTGTGCAAGTCTCAAAGGGATACTCGGGAGTTCAACATACTACACTTGTTGACGTCGCTTGTTGGTATCGTGCACGTCTGTATCCGATATACTGATATCAGAATAGTGACTTAAGGGGCAACTACTGTTCACAGCGATACTGGTCAACGTCTGGTTATTCGACTTTCAATCTCCTTTTGCTGTCTGAAACCTTGCGTTCGCTCAATGATAAATATCACTGAAGTAATCTCCTGCTAAAAATGGACTGAACCAGCCTCAGCGCTACGGAGCATTCTACATTGTGTACGCCTAGCTGCTTAGACGTTGAGTAAACACTACGAAAATTATCTCGCTGGTACCCCACTTGGTTCTCGCGTCATCTAAAACAAAATCCAAAAAAAAAGCTCCATAGGTCGCTGTCGGTCGCTTCCATCTACGTTGTTTACCCGTGCAGGGTCGGTGTCTGCTCTGCGCTGATTCGACGATTAATGATGCCAGTGAGCATTTCATATTACGGCTCGGAATTACAGCAAGGAATTGGTTACAGTAAAACAAAACCTCTGGTCTAGGATACCACGCCCACACAAGATTCAGCGCCTCCACCATGAATCGATATTTCCCCGTGCATGGAAAATCTCGCCAGGTTGCTGCTGCTGCAGAAGTCTTTCCATAAATTCCATCACGTAAACTAGACAAAGCCTTCGGTTTGGGTAAAAACGGTCCCGCTTGATTTCCTCGCTCTGAGGTGTGCACAAGTTTTCCTGCCCGTTTCTCACCCATAAAAAGGGCACTGGAATCCTATGACTTGGGCGTTACAGGGAACTTGGACCAGGCATCACCATTCCATAATGGACGTGCACACACAAGTGCACTCAATCGACAACTGCACATGGACTTGCATCGTACATGTATGTCTGCCTCCGTCGCGCCTGTACCCTCCAGCACTTGGGTGCGTTCCCGCGGTTACTCCTGTCAACACGAGTAGGATGCGCGCGCATTGCTCTCAGGTACAGGAGCACACTCCCCATTAGTGAGTGTATACTTTTGCTGACCGAGCCGTTCAAGCGCTCAGGAGTATTCTCCTGTTAACACGAGTAGCCCGCTCGCACGTACCCAGTGTTCCCCGCTCTATCTTGTGGGAGAGTAACTTATACAGCATATGTTTACGACTGGTCATTTACACACAGTGAGAACCGCTCGCGCAGAGCGCATCCTGTAAAAGGGAATGACGTCAACATCCGTGACCAGAACAATAACGTGTGGAGCGCAATTAATCATGGTGTGTATACATGCGTGGCGCTCCCAGGGGTAAAAGCAGGTTCAGTAGAGACTTGTCAGTTACTGCCGAAGCACAGGACATTAACAGAGTCAACATCGACCTCGCCGTCTCGATCGCGCCTCTTCTTTCCAACTTTAGTCGGTATGGCAACGCATCAATGCGCAGCTTGCTGGATTCACGATGGGGCTTCACTCGTGGCCTTCAAGAGGACCAGGCCCTCACTTTGCGAAAGCCATAATAATGACCCCAAGTTCGTACACTCGGCGGTAACTAACACTGCTCGAGGTCGTTGACAGGTCTTGTCTTATACCTTTTAAAATGGTGGCACGTGATTGATAATTATGAGGAAACTTTACATTGATACGTTTGCATGAGCACGGAACGTGCGCCTGCAGTGAAGGATCTTGCATATTGAACCTGCTATATGAAATTGTACGCACTATATAATGTCCTATTTTCAGAAACATGGCACAATATCCCCATTTTTATGTCCAAGCCAAAAGTCAGAGAGTTTATAATCTTTCTGGGCGTTCCCCAGCTCATTTAATGATGAAGAATGGCAAATTCATTGCCAAGCAGATACGACAGCGGGCGCTGCATGGGAGTGAGTTTCACTTTGGCTCGTTCCTCACCTTCTACCTCTGCGACCGGGGCTCGAATCCCACCTGGGTCAGCATGTAGGTTGGGTTTTCAATCCCAGTCTGACTCCGTGGGCTTTCCCTGCAATATCCATTCTCGGTTCTCCCGCCAGGTCTAAAACTGACCATTGTCTTCTTAATTTGTCACTTCATCCTGTTATTGGCGCTGAATGCGCTGTTGGTTGAACAGATAGAAAACGTGAACACCAGTCTAGTCTAACACATAACCTGGCTGTATAAATGCTGAACAAAGACTGCGTAATTTACTCTCTCCGGAGTTCATTGTACGGATTTCATTATCATTGAATACAGTGTTACAGGACAAGTTATTCCGAAAGGTGCAGTTTCGTGCAGTGACTTCAAAATGCCCGAAGCATTTCCGTCAGACTTGGGTATGACAGCAACCTGGGATCCGACTAGTGAAACTCTAGCCCCAAGTTGCCTAATAGTGGGGGAAATATGGAAATATCAAGCACCCTCGACTCACATCGCTTCCACTTCTCTTCATCCCAACAAAGGAGCGCATTCCTGGGTGCCTCTGGCAGCAGGGAAAATATGGCATCCAATCTCATGTAAGCACAATCTTTCAATAAGTTGATGCACCCGATATGTGCATGTATTCCAGTATAGGCATGTTTTGTTTTGGTAAACAGATGAAGAGCGACGTAGGACATCATCGCCCTTCAAGTGACTTCCGCTGTAGTTGAAGAGAACAGGACTCCAGGAGGGTGTAACATGTTTAGTTCGTACAAGTACATAATTACATGTATTTCAATTCAATCTTGGCTCAAAATGGTGTCAACAAAATACATACAGTCTTTAAGTGTAATGTGGAGGGTTTCGGGTAGACAAGCACAAACGAAGTGAAAGCAAACCAAGGAGACTCATGGGCATCCAGCGCATTTTGTGGAAATATCTTGCCTGAACATCTGAAGAATGCTACCATGCCAGCGCCCTCTTGCGCTTTGTCATGCGGAAGATCATAGTCTCCCCCAAAGCCTACTTTCGGACCGCCAAAAGATTTATCACTGAGGTTGATGAAACTCCTCAACACAGCTCTGATCTCCAAGTGACTGTGTTTTTTTCCTCCACCCTTCCTTCAGTTCCTAAATTCAGGAATGCTTCAACAATTATATCGGCTATATGTATGCGGACGGCCAGACAAAAACATGTTTACTCGCAGCCTGTCGTTCGCACGCCAGTCCCAGGTGAGGAGTTCTCGATAATCGCATCGTTATCTCCTGTCAGGGCGTAGGAGTTGCGTATCATGCGTCCTAATTCTGTTTATGATTTTAATAAAAAAACAAGTGGTTTAAAGGAAGTCGTTATAGTCGCGCAAAAAGTAGAGTTTGCCCCACACCACTCGCATAACGGTCACAATTCATCGATCGTGACCTTTTAATTCCTGGTGACACAGAAGGCACTACATCTACAGTATGAATCCTTCCTGAAAAAAAGTGCGTAACTGAACACCCCATGAAGTTATTTCACTCAAGCCATGAAAAATCGTTCAAGTTATGTCAGCGCATCTTCAGAGATTCCGCAAGGAATTAAAAGAAACAATAACCTTTCATTGCGTTTATGCTAACGAAGGGCCATGGTACATAATGGACGAAATGTAACTTAAGGGTCACGAATGAAATCGCACTTTAAAACGTGCAGTTTTTCCCGAACGATGTTATTCTGCTGATTTCAGACTTTCACATGCATTAAACTTTCAAATCTCGAGTCAGTGGACAGTGGGCTCTACCATAATTATTCAGATCCTTTCACGATGCTGATCCTTGCAAAATTATTCATCAATCTTGCAACGGCACGCCCCCGCATTCCAAAAAGCCTGCATCGTTTATCCACGTTATGTCACCTTGTGTGGCGACTCGGTCCGCTTCAGCGGCCCGGAGTTGTCCCACAATTTCCATTTGTTCTCCATTCGTAATGGTCATCGGTGTCCTTGTCACTATCGCTGTAATCGCCACCACAATTGTCAGTTTGTCAACTGAGCCTGGCCTCCACATTTTCTTTAACTTCATTCCCCCGTTCTCCTTTTCTGAATGCCCACATTTTTCTCTCTCTAAAAGTGGGTCGCATCTGAGCTCCGATGGATTAGCAGTCCATTAACATGTATGTAACGTGAAAAGATGCATGGGGTTGTACGCGCCCGTCCTGAATCTATTACTATAGGATCAAATGCATACATCTCCTGAAAGGTTTAGGGAGCCCCCTAAACCAGGCCTCCTTCTTTGTCTAACCAATAACTCAACCTGCAGGGTAAGGAGGGGGAATGGATGTCATGCTTATCCAGCGTTCAGCGTGGATATCGAGTCGCGATAATCGATTTTTATACGTGGGTTATGCGGCCACTTCGTAATGATTCAATAAAGCAAGTGATACCTGTGACATATTGTTTGCTTTCAAGTGGGTGCGTGAGTATCAATGACAAGAATTCTTGCCAGCGGATCGCATAGTTCATTTTAGGCGCTACGGATGTGCCCAATAAACGTCATTTGATACTCCATCGGCTTACACTGAAGCAACCGCGATTTGGTAACATTTAAACGATTGAGGATTGCCGGGCTCGGGTTACATGGGACTTATCAATTTGGACTTATTATCTTCAGCATGGTCTGTGTTTATGTACCTATAAGGTCACAGAACTAAACTTTGTGTGTAAACTTTCACAATAAGGAAAAACAAAGGAAAAAGTATGTAAGCTACATTGTTATTCAGTGACAGGAAAATAAACGAATTTTCAAGAATAAATCGATACTGTTCTAATTTGTCGCAGTAAGATTCCTCCACCTGCACTGCTTAAACCAGACAAAGTCCATTAAATTTTCATGACATTTCGAATAATCCGTCTAACTGTTCAATCGTATAGAGTACCTACTTCCACCGTCGGACACAAAGTCTAGGACCCATGGTAAACTTCATCCAAACCAAGCGTCTTATCTTCTCACACTGAGATTGTGCCGACTTATACATACATATCGTGCCTTCTGAACACACAACACATGCTCGAAAATCTCGACACAATTTGTTGGTATCTAGTGAAAAAGAAGTAGGTTTTGCGTGACACTTCCTCGGTTGGAGGGTGTTTAAGGAAAGTCAATTGTCCCCTGCCCTCATGAAAAAAAATAGGCCTACCTATAAAAACATCCGAGAGAAACCCCCCTCTTAAATATCAAAATATGTTTACTTACCACTAAGCATACACGTTTCTACCAAAAACCAGTGCAGTGCCAATTCCAATGTGTTTTATTTAAAAGTATCCATCCTGTCGTCCTTGTCTCCATAAGTTGTTTTCAGTTTGACGTCATACGCCATTTTCTCCACTGCAAATCAGCCATTTCGGTCCCCAGTCAGTCTGTGTCTTAACGTTCCACTCTTTTTGTCATGAAAGACCTGGACTGTGGAAAAAAACATGGACGGGAAACTGTTTGAAAGTGGGCCTATAAAGCATGCTTAGGCATGTTTTTGCTTTGTACATGCTTAGCACAGCTTTAGACCTATCAGGCCTTATACAGTTGACTGTCCAGTTCCGCAATTCAGCCAGTTTCACCAAAACGGGCTTCATACATCAGAAAGACAAATTGCTGGGGACTCAATTCATTATTCTCTGAAATGTTTTACTTGAAGATCTTGCAGAAAAACAATATTGCTTATACAGAACCGCTGCGGTATTGTCAACGAACGTTTTTCGCCCATCACGATTCACAACAGCAGCGCTTGTGCTTTCTGCGCAATGCGTTTGTTGCTCTTTTAAACGATCATCGCGGTGTTTTTTGTGTTTTTTTTTCAAACCAAATTAAAGCTTTTGGAAATTATCAGCTATCCCACCGTTGAAATATATGAGTTCTGTATATTTTCAAATGTGTATTTTTGGATACAAAAGAAACAACAAGATTTTTTGCCAGTTCCACAAACGAGTTTTAGATTACAATGCGCGCATTTAGTGTGAGTGTGACGCACGTCCTTCTGTGTCCGAAAAACACGACCTAATGTACAGATGGCGTAATTTGTGGAAATGTTTGCGGAACTGGGCAAAACCGACCACCAAAATGACTGCCCAAAATTGTTCAGTATTTAATGTAGCGGGATAATTTCCGGATAATTTCTGGATGAAAACATTTCCATGAAAGTAAGTTTTGAGGTGCCAGGGGCCTTGGACAGTAGGCTGCTTGCGGAACTGGTCAATCAAAGTTGTCACCTCAACTT